AAAAAAAAAAAAAAAAAAAAAAAAAAAAAAGTCTATTAAAAAAAGACCAGACCAACAACTAATGAGTGCTTGTGGGTAGATCATGTAGACGTTACATACATGGATTCATACACCATGCTGACCAGCTCCTTCACTTTTTCTAAGGCCAAGAAATGGGAAGGAACTTGTCCCCATTTATCCCCTTGGTTAGTAGAGTTTAAATCCAAATGTTCTACACTTAGCCCAGTAGGGGTTAAATGATGGTTAGGAGCTTTGGCTGGGAAGTCAAAGGCACCAGGGTTCAAACTCCAGCTCCATCGTGCACCATCTGTGTGGCCTTGAGCCAGTGGTTTAACCTCTCTGAGCCTGCAGATGGCTTCCCAGTCTATAAAGTGAACAGATCACTAGCCAGGCTCAGGACTGAGAGCTTACCCTGTACTGCCTTATATGATAGCTCTACTTAGAAGGTGACATCACATCCCTGACTCATAAGACCCTGGTTCTGGGGGCAGCTAGGAATAGGCCCGAGTCCTGGGGCCAGTGAGAGGCTGAGCCGGGCCTGGAAGCCAGGCTTCCACACAGGCTGGACACTTGCCCAGATGCCGCTTGGGGCTGCTTTGCACTTTAGACGAGGTTCATGTGGGCAGAGTCCACAGCACGGAGCTCAGCATGCAGCAAGCACTTGGCTTATCACTCTCTCCACCTCCAGGATCCTTGCTGAGCCTGACCTGTGGTGGTTTGCTTTGCCAGCGACTGTCTTGCTTGTCCCTCTGCATCCCTTTCATATCACATGACCAAATTGGACCGCCGCCATGTGCAGCTAGGAAAACAGCCACAGAGACATCTGGTAACCTGCTCCCAACCACCAAGTAGCACAGTTGGGCCCAGAGGAGTCCAGAGAAGTCCACTGGGGGGCAAGGGAATGCTAGCAGACACAGCCCTCAAAGTCCCATGCCCCTGAAGGCGACACATGGCTCTCTCGGGCAGTGTGGTAGTCTGTGGCCTGGACATCTCTGCAGGACCACACTGAGGAGGTAGGAAGGCTAGGGCGAACTCAGGAGCAGTGGATAAGCCCCTGACAGGTTTTCTCCTCCCAGGACTCCCAGTCCAGGCTGAGGGGATATAGGAGCTGAGGGTAGCCAGCCACAGCCCTATGCCCTGTCCCTTCTGAGAACCACAGGGGCCCTTTTCTTTTCTCTCTTACTTCTAATCATTAGGAACATAACCTCCTCTCTGAGGGAAGCTGTGTGAGTCATCTTTTAGTCAAAAATCACTTCCCTGCCTCAGAAATTCTAGCACAACCTCAGATTTCCTTTGCGATCTCTAGCCTTTGAGCATCAAGACTTCCTCTGACCTCTTATTGCTGGCCAAAGGCCTCCCTTCTCTGGGCCACAGCTGA